TTACAAATATGTTTTTTTTTTTTTTTTTATTAATTTTTTAATATACAAATTTTTTTTTTTTTACATTTTTAAAAAAAAAAAAAAAAAAAAAAAAATTCATATGGTAATTATGGAAGATTTTAACGAAGAAGACGACGTTGATTTGATAACGTATTTCAAGGAAATTATTTATTGTAATGAGGACTTAAATGATATACACAATAACCTGGAACCTGTACCTTTAAAAGGTGATTCTTTTAACACTTTTGATAAAGCTGAACTTCATGTACGTCGATTTGCAGAATATAAGGGGTTTAAGATACGACTTGGGCAGGTAAAAATGATAGACATGGCTGAAAGCAATAAGGTGGTTCGCAAACGAACTATTCTTTGCAAGCATTCTGGTTTATTCAAACCTAAAAGTACTAGAAAGCAAAGCACTTCGGCTCGAACATCGTGCTCATGGTATATTAATCTTTCATACCCTTTAAAAGACAACCCCAATTTCCTTGTATTTGTTACCACTTTTAATGATAAACACAATCATGATTTATCTCCTAAAGCAATACGTTTTGAAAAAAACAAATGGTTTACAGAAGAGATACGGAAAGAAGTAGAATTCCTTGTTACTAAATATCATCTTGGTGCAACTATGGTTCGGCGTATCTTAAAGGAGAAGTTTCCCTCCCATCCTATATTTTTCAAGGACCACTATACCGAAATACAACGATGTCGGCCGTCAAGTAGTGTAGTTAGAAGTGATGCGTCACAGTTTTACAGGCAGTTGTTATCAAAACAACAAGAAGATTCCTGTTGGTTTGTTGAAATTACATGAGAAGAAGAAACCAATACCTTAACGAATTTGTTCTGGATGAGTCCAGAACAAATTCTATTATGGTGTGAATTCGGTGAAGCAATTGGGCATGATAATACTGCTGGTACTAACAGGTATAACATGCCTTTTTCTTTATTTGTAGTGCAGGATAATAACATGCAATCCCGCATTGTCACTCAAGCTTTTGTCAGCAATGAAACTGCTGAAACATACTAGTGGATTCTTCAAATGACCAAAAAAGCCACTGGTAATAAATATCCCCGTGTTTTTGTGACTGATACCGATCCAGCAATGGAACGAGCAATAGCTTTGGAGTATCTGGGAACGCAACACCTTTTTTGTATTTGGCATGTTAAAGAAAATATAAAAAAGGTGTTGCGTAGCAAGTTGAGAGATTCATTTGATGAATTTTATAGCAAGTTTTGGCAATGCAGGAATGCTGATACGTTACATAGCTTTGAATACTATTGGAACCAACTTTTGAACTTCCCTGATACAAAACCATACCTTGAACGCTATCTTTATGAACGTCGACATTCATGGGCACGTTCCTTCACTACGATGATACTTACACTTGAGATTCAATCTACGTCCTTCGTCGAAAGTCAAAATGTATGTATTAAGCGAGTGTTGAAGAATAGTAATACATCATTATGTGATCTAGGTAAAGTATTGATGGAAAGAAGTAAAGAAGAACAAAAGCGAAAGCAATTTGAAGAATGGAGACAGAGTATTCCTTCTACAGCAAGCGTTGTCACTGTTTTTCCCCCTATAGAATCTTTAGTAAAATGTTATTTGAGACCAAATGTCTCACATTTTTTAATAGAGCAAATGAAAGAAAGTTTGTATTATGCCGCCAGTCTTTCCACAATCGAGGAAGTAGAATCACTTACTGTTTATGAAACTTCTCAAAGCAAAGACATAAATGTTGAGTTCGATGCGGTTTACCTGTCTGCTAAGTATCTTTTAGATCATTTAGAACGGAATACAATTGCGGAGACCTGGAACGTGTCGAGAGTCACAAGTCATAGGATTAATCACTTCATCTTTCTTCTTGCAGATGGTTCATATGGTTGTACTTGTCTTTTGCAACAAAGAAAAGGTCTTGTTTGTCGTCATTTTTATTATCTCTTGAATGTTACGGAGAAGGCACGGTTTAGTTTAATATTGATAGCGGCACGATGGATCCCAAGAGACAAACGACTAGATGCAGCAAAAGAATATTCATATTCTGGTGAACGATTTAATGAATTAGCTAATGATATAAATATCGTTCAAGAAAGTAATGAGTATCGATTTACGTGGTTACAACCATTTATTGGTAATGAAACTGGGGACACTATGAATGAAGAGTTTGTTGATGAAGTTCTTTTTTATGGAAAAGTTTGGGGTCTCGCTCGTACTGCTGTAAATAAGTATATGTTGCATCGTGATCATGAATTTATTAGCTTAATTGAATCCTATCTAGAAAAGATTCGTGCTAGTGAAGATGAATTGGTTGAAGAAGTCACAACAGACCAAGACACTACTGAAAATGTAGAAAGTAATGTGATATCGATTGTGAATCCCCGAAAGGTAGTCACTAGAGGAAGGCCAAAGTTAGCAAGTCATGATAAAAATGTCATAACAACTACACAAGAGAAAGGTAGTAAGAAACGCGGGCAATACACTTGTGGATTCTGTAAGCAACCGGGCCATAATATTGCAACTTGCCCAAATAAAGAGAAAGAGTAAGTATATGAGATTGGAGGATGAGGATGTGATTACTGTATACATCGCGTATATAGGTCGTTTATTGATTGTATATCAAATGTGCTTTTGTATATTGATTGTTCTTTTGTATGTCGATTGTGCTTTTGTATGTCAATTGTGCTTTTGTATGTACTAATGTTAATAGCTTATGTGAAATGCATGTGTATGTTGATTGTACTTTTGTATAGCTTATGTGAAATGCATGCTTTTGTCTTTATTAAAAAGTTAAGGATAGGAGTAATATTTGCTTGTTATTGTTTGATATATTTGTAGCATTTTAAATTGATTTATTGATGATATAATATAGTGTGAAGAGCGAAATTGTTATGTTTAATTATCTAGAACTATGTTTAAACGCATATTACATATTTCGTTTAGATGCTACGTAGTTATTAACTATTAAGGTGCAAATGTATGTATGTATGTGTATGTATGTATATCTATATTTAGTATAGTACGATAGTCAAGTTTGAATATGCATATGTTGTATGGACGTACGTACGTACGGCTAACAATGCATGTAAACTTGTTTATTAAAGGGTTAGGGCCATGGTGAGTACTGTTTTTGTGTTACGTAGTGATTAGGTTAAAGTCCTCCACTACAATGATATATGTCATGTGAATTAATATCGATCACTAGTATTACGTGACATGTGCATATTGTGCATGTGATCCGGTGTCATGTGCCACACATATCGATCCATATATTTTTAATTATAGAAGGGGTGCACCATGATGCAGGTGTACCAAAAAAAAAAAAAAAAAAAAAAATCCATATTTTTTTATGTGTTGAATATATTTTACTTAGAAATTAATATAGGCTATCTTAATAGGGTGTGGCGACTTAGTGAAGTGGTGAAGTTGTCGCACCCCCAAGCGGTTGAATACAAGTTCAATTCCCACTGGA